TGCAGTGGTGTGTGCCTATAGTTCCAGCTACTCAGGAGGTTGAGGTGGGAGGATCGCTCGAGCCTGGGAAGTCAAGGTTGCAGTGAGCCAAGATCCTGCCACTGTACTCCAGCCTGGGTGAGAGGAACAAGATGCTGTCTCAAAAAAAAAAAAAAAGAAAAAGAAAAGAAAAGCCCATAACTTGGTTTTCAATTAATTGCATCTGACCCCAGACCAAAATAAATAAATAAATAAATAAAAATAAAGTTATTAGCCTCACATTGGAATGACTCTGATAACATTTTTTGTGGGGAGCGGGGGCGGGGGGTGCTGGGGTCAGATGCAGTTAATAAATACTCATTTATGAACAAAGTTTGTGAATTAGTATTTAACACAACATTCCTTCTTTTAACATGTACTTATTGAGTACTTGTTATGCGCCATGCCCTGTATTTATATGCTAGGAATATGGTGGTGAATACGAAAGATGTGAATTGTTCTCCTCTTGGGGCTTAATACCCTGGATCAGTGCTGGCCTCCAGAAGTTTCTGTGATGATGAAAATATTTCACATCTGTGCCATCTAACACGGTAGCAAATTGCCACATAGGGTTATTGAATGCTTCAAATGTGGCTGGTGCAACTGAGAAACTGGATTTTAAATTTTATGTAATTTGCATTAGTTACAGTTAAATGGCCACACGGAGCTAGTGGCTGTCGTATGAGGCAGCACAGCTCCAGAACCCAGTGCTGTGACTGCAAGGGTGCCCCTTAAACCTCCCTTCGTTTTCTAGAACCATCTAACCAGAGTTGATATGGAGAACGACCGCTAAGTCCTACCAGATTCTTGATCGTTAGACAAAGATTTCATTAACTCAGGCATTTTAAGGAGCTTTTTCTGTAAAACACATATCTTGCATATCCACAAAGTTCACCTTCACTGAAGAACTGAGTTAATCCAGCTAAATCTGAACACCCTCTCCCTTTGGGCCTGTTTATGATACTTTAAATTCCTCTTATCTCAAGGGAAAGTCACTTGGCACAAGCTCTAGAGAGAAATGGGATGGAGGTGGGGGGATCATGGTGCACCGTCATCTTAGCGTATCAAAGAATTATTGTGATTCTCCACCTATCCTCTCCACTCCCTGCTGATATACACATACACACACACACACACACACTTAGGTACATATATTGAACGTACAGTGGCTCATTCTCTAGGTAGAGAAGAATACCTTCCTGGAATTTACACTCACATGTTGACAGCCTTAAGTAAGGATGCATGTATTTGGCCCCGTGCATTCATTCCGTATCTTACTAGCTGCTTTTAAGATTTCACTCTGAAGGGTTTGCATCCTCAGCCAAGAGAAAAAAGTGGACACATATAGACTCCCTCTGTGGCCTGTTCTGGATGCATAAGGCAACCATTTGGAAGGGAGAGCAGGCCAGAGAGGTGGTACCGCCAGATGCCCTGCTGAGAAGTGTGAGTGCAGGGAAGGTGTTGGCCTGGGAGGTGGAGGCATGGCATGGAGCCAGAGAAGCCCAGGCCAATGTCTCCACATGTCTGGGCTCTGGTTTCTTCTCCAGCAAGACTGAAGGGCTGCACCAGATTTGAGCCGAGTATGTGACGGTCAAGAATTGCTCCAGTCCATTCTCATGACCTCCTTTCCTCCAGAAATCGGCCAGACAGGGCCATCCTGGCAGGAAAGCTGGGCCAATCACTTTGCAGTCCCCGGCCCCATACTCACCCACCTAGAACCAGGTTGGGACAAATATCAAGGGCAGCTCTGGAAGGGGAAAGGTCACAGGTGGCAGAAGGCACTGAGGGTGGGTGTGGGCGTGGCTGTGGTGGGCAGTGTGTCAGGAGAGGAGGGTCTGTCCCACCCTCCTAGCTCTGGCAGAATTATACACATACGAGGCACAAGTGTTTTTCTAGCCCCAGCCTGGGAGCTGTCTGCATCTCCCAGCAGCCTGTCCTGTAACTTTCTTTTCTTAGCTGTGCAGCAGAAAGGGCTCTAAAAGCTGAGGTCTGAGACAATGGCTTGATGACTGGGCTTTGGGGCCAGTTTGGTCATGAGCTTCCCTTGGAGCCACTCCCGTTATCAGGAGAAAGAGCCTCAGTGGACCCCTGGGGAAGCGTGGTCCCCAGCCCTGGGAAAGGGGAGGCCTAGAGGAGTGAACCCAGGCCCTGAGGAGCGGCAGGCAGAAGTGGCTTTGCTGAAGCCAAAGCTATGGGCTCCTTTCTCCACCTCAACTGCACAACAGCATGGGGCGGTGCCCAGCTCCTCCAGGCACTGGTTGTACCCTTCCCTAAGTAGCAGATAGCAAGGAGTGAAAGCCAGGCTTCTCCCTTTAGGAATCAAGTCTTTTTGCAGATGGGGAGGGGGTGACAGTCATTAGCTCTTTCAGAACTATTGGAAACTGTGGGCCTTCTTCCTTCAATAATGTGCATCCTCCACTTTCTGCAGCCTCTCGGGAGGACTCATGTGCCTCTCCACGGGACCCCAGGGACAGTGCTCCTCAGTGTATGTTCCCTGTTCCACCTGCAGTGAGATCCCCTTCAGGGAAGGTAGCTGTTAGAATGCAGTTATTAGGGTCCCATACTGGATCTGCAGAATCAGAATCTTTCAGTTGGGGGAACCTTGGAATCTGCCCCGAGATTTTCCTTGAGAACAAACTCCTCATGTGAGAGAAGCCCCCAGAGCAGGATCCTTATAACAGGGACCCCAGCTGGCCCTGATGTCGGAGGAAAGTTTTGGGATTAAGAGAGGGTCAAGGGCAGGCTGGCTGATCTCCCTATGCTGGGCTGGAAGAGCATGGGATTGGGAGCCAGGAGTTTTGTGTTCTGGGCCCGGCACTTCCTTGAGCCATGTCAATGATTCAACTCCTGAGGCCTCCCGCTGTTCTTTGCCTCATTGAGGGGATGGAAAGACTGGTGGGTAAGGTTTGTCCACCGGCCTCCGTTTCGCATTTATTGGTGTGGTAGTGTGGCCTCAGAGCAGGCCCAGGGAAGGATCTTTGGGCTTCAAAGCAGTGTATCTACCCACACTGTTGGTTGCCAGGTGGTTTTACCTGGAGGTTTTTTAAATTTCTTTCATTGCAGTGGCTTGGCTTCTCATTTCTGAAGGTTAAAAAAATAATTACATGTGGCCAGGTGTGGTGGCTCATGCCTGTAATCCCAGCACTTTGGGGGGCCGAGGTGGGTGGATCACCTGAGGACAGGAGTTCAAGACCAGCCTGGGCAACATGGCAAAACCCCATCACTACTAAAAGTACAAAAAAAAGTTGTACTTTACTAAAAGTACAAAACAATGTTGTACTTTACTAAAAGTACAAAAAAAGTTGTACTTTACTAAAAGTACAAAAAAAAGTTGTACTTTACTAAAAGTATAAAAAAAGTTGTACTTTACTAAAAGTACAAAAAAAGTTGTACTTTACTAAAAGTACAAAAAAATGTTGTACTTTACTAAAAGTACAAAAAAATGTTGTACTTTACTAAAAGTACAAAAAAATTAGCTGAATGTGGTGGCTGGTGCCTGTAATCCCAGCTACTTGGGAGGCTGAAGCAGGAGAATCGCTTGAACCTGGGAGGCAGAAGTTGCAGTGAGCTGAGATCGCGCCACTGCACTCCAACTTGGATGGCAGAGCGAGACTCAGTCTCAAAAAAACAAAGTATATATATACATATATATATTTTTTCCCACACTTGCATTTTTGTATTATAAAAGTGACATATGCTCATTGCAAAAAAAATATTCAAACATTACAGAAATGCCTCTCTTCCCATGGCCAGCCCTGATCATATTTCTCAGAGATAATTCTTACTAAAAATTTGATTCTAAGTTTTAATTTTAAAAAAAGAAAGCATGTAGAGCAACAGTGGCACAAGGAACACCTGTGGAGTGTTTACTCCTGATCAGGGAATGTACTTACAAGGAAACCTCACAATAGCCCTGGGAGGTACGGACCTCTCAACCTAGCGAGGGTTGAAGAAATTTGATATACACATATACATATGCATACACACAAACACCAAACATCTATTTGTACAAAAGTGGGATGATGTTATCCTTATTATACAACTTGATTCTTTCATTCTTAATATATCAAGAACAATTTTACAGAACTGTGCATGTTGAACATTTTAACATCTGCAGTGTTCAATGATATGAAATCAGAATTAAGCAATACCCAAATGATTTTTTTTTTTTTTTTGGAGACGGAGTTTGGCTCTTGTTGCCCAGGCTGGAGTGCAATGGCGTGATCTCGGCTTACCGCAACCTCCACCTCCCGGTTCAAGTGATTCTCCTGCCTCAGCCTCTCAAGTAGCTGGGATTGCAGGCATGCACCACAATGCCCAGCTAGTTTTGTATTTTTAGTAGAGATGGGATTTCTGCATGTTGGTCAGGTTGTTCTCAAGCTCTCGGCCTCAGGTGATCCACCTGTCCTGGCCTCCTGAAGTGTTGGGATTATAGGTGAGCTACTGCGCCCAGCCTGATTTTTATTATTACAAACAATGCTGTAGTAAACTATTTTTTTTTACATGTATCTTTGTGTATATGTGTATTTCTATAGAATAAGTTTATAGAAACAGTAGATCCAAAAGGGCATGCATATTAGTTCATTCTTACATTAAATAAAGAAATCCCCAAGATCGGGTAATTTATAAGAAAAGAGGTTTAATTGGCCCACAGTTCTGCAGGTTGTACAGGAAACATGGCAGCATCTGCTTCTGGGGAGGCCTCAGGAAGCTTTCACTTGTGGCAGATGGAGCAGGCATCTTAGACGGCAGGAGCAGGAGGAACAGAGTGAGCAGGGAGGTGCTGCACACTTTTAAACAACCGGATCTCACGAGAACTTACTATCATGAGAATAGCACCAAGGGGATGATGCTAAATCATTCATGAGAAATCCACTCCCATGATACCATGATCTAGCTGCCTCCCAGCAGCTTCCACCTCCAACACTGGGAACTACAACTCAACATGGGATTTGTTAGGGATACAGATCCAAACCATATCAGCATGTAAATGAAAAATTTTTAATACTTTCTGAACAATCTGGATAAGAGGAAATGAAATGTATTTGAATGTCTCTTCTAAGTGCTGAAGGTATTTTCAAATCCAAGTCCAAATATGAGGCTGGCAACAGGACATTTGTTTCCCAGAGCTGGTTTTAGATTCTTGGTTCTGCAACTGAACGGTTATGAAACTTGGAGAAACAAAGAGCGTATGCCTTTCATCGCTCTGGGCCTTGATTTCTACCATCTGAAACAACAGCATGCTAAAATCCTCTCTCTGAAGCCTGTTTTTGTTCTAACAATCCCCATTTTGATTAGTGCTTTAGCTCTCTGCCTTTGTTTTCCTATTTATAAAAAAGAATTTTATTCCTTTGACCTTCCAGGATCAATTAGTCAATGGATCCATTAGTGAAGAACTTTCAACCTTGAAGTGCTAAGTAGAGATGTTATTGCTTGTAGAGCAAGCTGATCTTAACTGCATGTGACCTAAAACTGCTGCAACTTCTAAATAGTTGCTGGGTCTTTAAGAGAACAAGATACTTATTGAATCCAAAAGGCCACTCTGTCTCAGCACTCTGGCTTGTGGGGTTGAGGAGAGGCCGGTGTTTGGGAATTAGGTGTTTGTTTGGGAAGGAGGTGTTTGGGAAGGAGGTATTGGGAAGGAGGTGTTTGTTTGGGAAGGAGGTGTTTGTTTGGGAAGGAGGTGTTTGGGAAGGAGGTGTTTGTTTGGGAAGGAGGTGTTTGGGAAGGAGGTGTTTGGGAAGGAGGTGTTTGGGAAGGTGTTGGGAAGGGGGTGTTTGGGGAGGTGTTGGGAAGGGGGTGTTTGAGAAGGTGTTGAGAAGGAGGTGTTTGGGAAGGAGGTGTTTGGGAACCTGATCGCGTATCACATCTCCCTTGCCAATCTTGCCTTCTTGCAGTAAGAATTTGCAACTGTGTGTCCTTTAACAAAGAAGGAATTGTGTGGACCACATCCTCACAGAACATGGCATGTATTACGTGAGGGACTGACCCAATCTGTGTCTGTGGTGCATGGGACAATAGCTGAGATAATAAGGACTTCCATTTCCCCCAGGTCCTCCAATCATGTCATGTGACCCTCTTAACCTCTCTGACGCAATAACCAGACAGGGAATAGTCATCCCCATTGTTAAGATGCAGATGCAGAAATTCAGAGGGGCGTGCCGACTGTCTCCTATCACATAGCAGCAGCGGGTGGCAGAGCTGGACAGTCCCGGCTCCATCCTGGTTCTACTGCCATGGGTCTGGGGTGCGTTACTCCCCAACTCCTTTCTGCTGGCTCTTTTTAATGGCCGGACTCCTCTTGGGAGCCCTGTCCAGTCGAGGCTTACCCAGCTGAGAAGGTGCAGCACTTTGGCGTTTTGAGGGACACGTACAGCACGCAGCATGAAATGTCTCTGAATTTGGGATCCTGCCGATGGTAAGCTTTAACTTCTAAAACACAGGAAAGAAGAAAGTTCAATGACTGAAGATTATCTTTCAGATTGTTGCTTCCCAATCTGTCCTCATTAATACCCTTGGGAGCTGGTTTTGAAGAAAGTCCTGCAGCGAACTGTAACATCTGGGTCAGAAGAAGACAGGGATGACTTACTTGGCTACTTGGGTGGAAGGTGGATTTTTATTTTCTGGCATCCGTGGGGCTGAGCTTTTAAGGAAGGATCCAGGTAGCATTGATGGTGCTCTCAGGGGTCCAATTGCACCAATAATTAAAAGGCCTCTTGAAACAAGTGAATCAAAATGAAACCACCAGACAGGACCCACCCAGACAAGATTGGGAAGAAATTGAAACTTGATCAGTTTCTCCTGCAACCTATCATGTCCTTCCCCTGCACACACCTTCTCCCCTTCCTTTGAAAATCTCAGTTCTCTCCCCTCTCAATCCCTGCCCCATTCCCACCCCAACCTCCAATTCCCTCATCCGTAGCATAAGAGGAAGGAGAGTAAATGGTATTGACTCAAGCACTTTAAAACATCAAGGGCCAATGGTTGTTCTTCCTTTGCTTCCACGTCTCCCTTTTCCAATATTCGTTTTCCTTCCAGGGACCATGTGTTCGAATGTTAAAAGAGCAATGGATACCCGTCAATACCAAGAAAGAAGTCAGGAATGGTGGCGGTGGGAAAGTAAAGGAATTTTCTGATCTTCCAGATAATCATGAAGATGGATACTGCATATTTCTCAGTAGCATGGAGGAGCTGTTATCAATTAGAAAGGGAAGGCAGAACAAGCACAAGAGAAATGCAGTCGCCCCTTTCCTATGCAATGACTACACAGTCTGGAAAGGCAGTCAGGATAAACTGTAGTCAGCAACACCCAGGTACCGTTCCTGGATCTGCTCACAGGCAAAGACCCTTTTCCTGGCTTCTGAATTAATGCCTGGATCTTTGGGTCAGAGTAGTGTTTGGTAACTTTCAGAAGAGTTCAGAAGCTTATATTGGCCCCAGTGTATGTGGATCCTTTTTTTTCTTTTTTTGAAACAGTCTCGCACTGTCCGGGCTGGAGTGCAGTGGTGCAATCTCGGCTCGCTACAACCTCTGCCTCCTGGGTTCAAGCGATTCTCCTACTTCAGCCTCCCAAGTAGCTGGGATAACAGGCACCCACCACCATGCCTGGCTGATTTTTTTTTTTTTTTGTACAGACAGGGAGTTTCACTATATTGACCAGGCTGGTCTTAAATTCCTGACCTCATGATCCGCCCACCTCAGCCTCCCAAAGTGCTGGGGTTACAGGTGTGAGCCACCTTGCCCAGCCCAGTGTGGATCTTTGGCAGAGAAAATGTGCTATAGGTACCAGATTGTTGGACTGGGGCCCTGAAATCTACTTCTTTTCTGCCATGCACTCTCCTATCCAGTCTTCAAAACCCAAGCCAAACAGCACTTTCTTTGAGACACCATGCTAGCTTCCTTCATATAGATTTACTCCATTCTACCTCTGTGATCCTGTGGCCCTGTGTTCATATCTCAGGGCGCACACTGTATTGCAAGTAGCACATAACATGCCTGCTTCATCCACTAATCTGTGAGCTTCTTAAGCTCAGCCTGAGGCCATTTTTGTAGCTCTTGAATTTAGCACAGTATCTAGCACCCAGTAAATGCTCAATAAATAGAGAGTGAATGAATGTGTACTTGCTCTGCCACTAACTAGTTATGTATCTTAGACAACTCACTCACTTATCCTCCTGGGATTACTCATTTAGGGTAATGAGTAATAGGGATAGCACAATTTGTATGACCAACAGGACTATTACGTAGTGCAGAAGAGATAAGACATGTTCTTAATATAGATATGCTACACAATCACAAAATTCCCAGAGCTGGAAGAAATTTGGAAATCATCTAATACAATGGTTTTCAGAAATTTGAAGCCAAAGAACTGTTTCTTAAGGAAAGCTAACAGGAAAGTCCAACATCTTGGACTAATCTTTTTTCATAAAAGATAAAAGATAAACATGAGCTTCTCTGGTTGAAGACCCAACATACTCTCTCCTTCCTCTCCTTTCCTTTCACCTCCATCCCAGGGATATAAGAAGCACAGTCTGAAAACCAACCTCTCACTTTAGTGAGAATAAGCTGAAGTCCAGAGAAGGCAGTGAATTTCCTAAGGTCACAGGGCTAGTTAGAAAAGTAGACCAGGGAAGGAATTAACACATGAAGACTGCAGTGACATGCAGGACAATAGTTAGTCCATGAAAAAACAACATACCCATATATTAGGGTTGGTTTATTGTTGTTTTTCTTTTGAGACAGGGTCTCGCTTTGTCTTCCAGGTTGGAGTGCAGTGGTGCAATCATAGCACACTGTAACCTTGAACTCCTGGGCTCAATTGATCCTCCTGCCTTGGCCTTCTGAAGTGCTGGGATTACAGGTGTGAGCCACCATGCCCATCACCACATATTATGTTTAATTCTTGCAATACTCTATGAGGAAGTTAGGGCTGTGACGATTTCTGAGATGAGGAAACTGAGGCTTTAAAAAACGGGCTTGAGTAACATTCCGTGGTCAGTTGTAGTAGAAGTAAAAGTAACTAGTAACTTTACTGATTACCTAATATGTGCCAGTCACCTTTGTAAGCACGTTACACATATTACCTCATTTAATTATCCAACAACCAGCACCATCATTAGCCATAATTTTACAGAAAAGAAAACTGAGGCACAAATTGGCTGAAGGAGCTGGTTTGGAATCCCTGCACCAGTCTGATTGCATGCCAGCTCTTTTTGCTACATCACTCCGATCTGAGGTCCTGAACCCAGGTGCTGTGTCTCTTAGCCCAGTGCCTTCTCCAAATGCTACTTGATATGAAAGAATCCTGAAAGAGTCCTAAAAGAACATTCTGTTATTTGCACTTGGTGGTGGAAGAATGAGGAGCCTTATTTATACTCAGGGTACCTCTCAGACTTCATCTAAGACCTTTTTCCTTCTGGTACTGATTTGCCCTGTTCAGGGCTGGTCAGTACAACTCACCTCCTTCTGGATGGACCGGGTGAGAAATAAGGAGACCTCATCCAGGCTCTGGGGCTTCAGGCCATTCACCGCCAAAAGATGATCTCCGTGGCAAAATATGCATCCCAGACGTGGGGGGCCTTCCCACTGAGACACACTGCAGTGGGAATACAACATCCGACACCAGTGTGAGGCTCAGCTGGCCAGGAGGGCAGGGCATGCGTGGAATCTACAGGGTCTCCTGATTCTAGGTCATGTGGCACCACCTCTGAAGTAGGCTATCTCCATCTGTTTAGAATATTGTTTCCTCTGTCACTACTATAGGAGCCTAACCCTTTCTCCAAAGCCCAGCTCAAATTATACCGCCCTTACAAAGGCCCATAAAATCCTACATCCCATTCCTCTGCTATAATTCATTTCCCCTACCCCTGGACTTGTATTACATTGTGTGAGTACCTGATTTGGTACATTTTTAAAAAAAAATGCATTTTACATTTACTTGTTTGTGTGGCTGTCTTTTTTTTTTTTTTTTTTTTTACCAGGGTACATGACCCCAGAAGTATGATGTCACCTTTTTGTTTGTTTTGTTTTTTAATGTTTAAAACCCCATGGTTCCAAGCAAAGAAAGAGGGCTCAGTGTTTGTTGGAAGTGAGGATGTAATGATTACACAATGAATATCTAATGAACAAATAAATGAATTAAGGAATGAAGCAGCTCAGTTATGGAGGACTCCACAGTTTCGGTCAAGTGTGTATTGAGCCTTAGATTGTGGACTATTTAAAAAAAATGGAAGGTGTGGTTCCTCCCTTCTTAGAACTTATAAGACAACTATTGTGTAGTGTTTACATTAAAGAGTTTTCTTCCCTTACGAAGATGTAATGTTCCATCAAAATAAATTGCAAAGTCTTTTAAAAAATGCCATATCAAATAGACAGTGATTGCTTTAAGAAAATTCTCTGCCACACAGTCTTTTGTGTCTGTGTCCGTGACTAGCAGTTTTTTTTTTTTTTTTTTTTTTTAACCTTGTGTCTGGAAGTCTTAGAAGCTGATATGCTTTCTTCTTTTAGGCCTCTGATTCCTGTTGACTTCACTAATTTCACTCATTCATCAAATACTCATTGCACAGTGATTGGAAATGATGTCCTTGGGTCATCTGTATCCCTGCCCATTCTTCTTCCCTTCAAGGAGTCAGAAATGGCTGCTTCCTGAAATTTGGGTCCTGTTATTCCCCACTCTCACCTCCCAGCTGACTTTCCTGCACAACAAGACCCTGATTTCTGCCTCAAAGACTTTTGTAACAACAGCAAGACAACAGTCCAAGCTCCCCGACCCCCCAACCCTAGTCAGTGCTGCCAAATACCCTGTTTCAAGATATAATTGTTCTCATCAAAGCTTCCAGCCCCATTTATAATCCACAACAGTCAAATCTCCAACCTACCATATCCGTCCTGCGGCTTCTGTGAGAGCAAGATAGTTGATGACATCAGGAGGAGAAAGGAAAATGTTCAGTTTCTCCACTTGGCTTTCATCAGGGATATTACTATGAACAAGACATTTGTAAAAGTCACATCAGACAACTGGCCCTGGCTCTCAACTGTACTTTCTGAGTAGACTTTTGGCCTCTATTTCTGAGATGATATTGCACAGGTAAAGGTCCAAAACATTTAGAGAATAATATAAATTTAAGTTACTGAAAACTCCTCTTGGGATGTGGTAGTGGATGGTAGACTATGGGAACAGAGGGAAAATGGGCTAAGTTGGTTATATAACTGTCCACATCAGGCCAGTCTGCATATTTCTTTGCTGGAAATGATTCCGTAGAAGAAGGCACGGAAAAGAGTTAAAATTACATCAGTCGTACCAAATGCTCTTGGTATCACTTAAGGCCTAAATAACGCCCTCCTGGTCTATAACTAAGCCTCATGCAACTTGCATGCCCATAATTACACTCATGGGAAAACTGACTGACATGCTATTCAGATCGGTGTGGATCCGAAGTCTTGGGAACTGAAAGACTAGCCAAGGGGGGATTTTTAAAAATAGCTGAAAATGCCACCCCCAGCCCCAGGGACTGCTTTGCTTCCGCTCTATCATCCCCTCTCCTTGGCCACAACGTCAATGACAGGGAGAAGATGGTCAAGATTTTGGCTGACTTGGAGATTTTTAGGAATGGCTTTAAAATTTAATTCTAAGTTAAAAAAAAAAAAAGTGGGAAGGAGACTTCCTTGCTCTTAGGGCCCATAAAGTTTTAGAAATTAGAGCTTTACTTGATTAATATAGACAATTGCACAACAGTTAGTGAGGCCGACCCCTTTTGGTCATTTGTGGTCTGTGCTTCCACATCGGCAGGGGAAAGACACCAATCAATTCCTGAGCCTTGTTCTTGCAGGTGGAGGCCCCCATCCTGGGTCTCTGGAAGGGTCTGGGGTTCCTCTTTGCTGCTATCCACAGACTCATGGGATGTCTCTTTGAAAAAACTAGAGTATAAGAAGTTAAAAGAAGCCCTATTTTAGCATGTGTTTTTACAGTGTTCCCCTGTGTGTGTCAGATTTCAGTAGCTAACAGCCATGTGAAGACTAGCAAGGTCTTGAAGTATGTCTAACTATCAGAATCACAGCCACAGATAGAATCAAATCCAACAAACTTTCCTTCTAAAAATGGATATGGAATCAAAATTACCCTTTACAGTGTTTGGAGGACAGAAGCGAGAGTGTGAGAGACATAAATGCAAAGTAGAAGATAACTTCCTCAGGAGACGGAAAAGGTCCTGAGGATGTCATCGGTGGTTTTCTGTGGGTGGAGACGTGACTCCCTCATTTTTGTGTGTTGAGATGATGGAATAATATGTGGAACCTGGTCTGTGGTAATGTTTGGCATCAGTTTATCAACTATTGAAATGAACTGACAGTCATTGTTCCATAACAGCAGATGAGCAAAAATCAAATTTTTGAACGGCACTTTGACTTACTAGGATTCCATTGGCTCATAATGACACTCGATTCTTCCAGAGACCTGGTCTGGACCATCAGTTTCAATGGATTCACCAGAATCACTGGAAGCAATGACATTATCCAACTGTAGATAAAAGGAATAGATGTAAGAATCCCAGTTTACCGATAAGTCAGGTACCTTCTTATTTCTAGTGTTAACAGCTCTGGGCTCTGACATAGAGGTACAGTTTCCAGTGGATGAACGTGGTTCTCATTTGGGAAATATCAACCAACCTTACCTCCGTGAGACTGAACCAGCAAAGCTTCTGGAGGACTCTAAGTCAATTTTCTTCTCCTGGATCCTTCATGTGGCTGACACAAGTGTTATTTCTATTGAAACTAAATTGCTATTTATCTTTCTGTTTCACCATTAGGCACTTAATGACATGAAAGCGTTTCCCCAATCAGTTCTATTATAGAATCATGGCACTTGGCTGGGTCAAAGACTTTGACACAATGTGAAGCTGGTCTCAGGCTACTGTGCTCACAGGCAGCCCAAGTGGCTTCAGGGACGCTACAATGGTCTAGGAAAACACTGCCCTTAGGAAGCTTTCAATAGCCCCCTTAGAACAAGGAGAGTCACTTGTGGCGATGATTGCTCAGAAACCCTAAGGCCTACCTAAGTTCACTGTTAACCCATGATGGAAACCTTCCTTCCAGTCAAGCCAGTCTTCCCATTGGCCCCATGCAAATGGTGCTCTTCTGTCGCCATATTCATGCAGTCTTCTTCACCTAGAGTGCCATCTTTGCTTCCTGCCTACTGAAATCATGTTCAGGCCTGCCTGAAGTCCCACAGGCCCCTCTGATCACCTCAGTTACTGCAGAGCTCTCCTTTCTCTCAATTTCCATTGCATAGTTTTGTACTTATTTATTTATTTTTTGTCTTTTTAGCTTAGTTTTGTCTGCTTTACTAGACTTTGCCTATCATAAAATACCTAGCAAAGGCCAGGCGTCTAACTGATGCTCAATACACATCTGATTGGTTGGCTGGACTATCATAAAAGACTGCATCCCAGGAAACACAAACATGAAAATCTTTTGGTGAAAGAAGAACTATGTGCTCAAAGGAGCTTGGGAAACACCATGTGTTGTATTTGACTTGACTATTTACAGTGCACCACTGCATACTAAATGCTCTGAGAATTCTGCTAAGAAGTTTGTTTAACTTATTTTAACTGGGTGTTTCCAGAATTTATTTGACCCCAGAATGTTTCTTTTATATAAACATATGTCACCCTCTTACGGAAAACCCTCAGTTTGGGAAATGATGCAGCATTGCCAGCCTCCATTCTGTCTTCCTATCTCTCACTTCCATTCTCTTCTCTCTATAGTCCACAGCGGATACAGCTGCTGGGTTAATACTAATGGAGGATAATTCAGGTTTTGATACTTCCCAACTCAGAAGCCATTGCTTCCCCTATGCTGTCTACAGAATGAAGTCAACTTGGCATTCAAAACCCTTCATGGGCTGGCTCTTTTCTTCTGTTTATCTCCCACTATGCCTTTCACACACTCTAGGATGCAGCCTCACTGAACTATTCCCCATGCATGTATCAAATGGCACTTCATCCCGGAAGCTTTCCTTGACTCTAGTAGAGACAGAAAATCTGTTCTTTTTCTATTGCTTCCGGAGCATACTGACCACGTCTTTTGTGCAGCATGATCCTGTGGTAACTGACAAGACTATGCACTCTGAAAGCAGGGTGATGTCAGGCTCATTACTTTAGCCACCGTGCCCGGTACAGTACAGTGACTACTGCTCAGAAGGCATTCAGTAAGGGCCTCCAACTGATCAATAGACTGATCGATACACAGAACACAACTGATCACCCAAGCACCTTGGCTCACATTATTCTTTCTGCTAAGAATGCAGAAAGACTCCTCAAGGCAATCCCCCACATCCAAATTTTACTCATCATGTATGGTCAAATGTCATCTCATCCCTGAAATCTTCCTGATTTTTTGTTTGAAAGTCATCTCCTCCTCCCATTGCTCATGCACCCCTAGAATTTTATAAGCATCTCTCTTCAGCATAGAACCCTTCTGTCTTGTATTACAGCTGGCTCCTAGTCAAGTGTTAACACCATGAGCACGTCATCTGTATTTGATTTACCTCTGTGTTCCCACTGACCCTAGCCTAGTATTGCACGAAAAGTGCATGGCTTTTCAGTATGCACTGAAAAGGGTTTCAGTAAATATTTGTGAAAGAAACAAATGATGAATGGACAAGAAAGGGTTACCTCTAAAAGAACACTTCGAGGAGTAAGATAATAATTCTCTTCCTTCACATCTTGAGTGGTTTCTGATAAATCTTGTAGATGAGCTTGCCTAAATCCTGGAGAACTTTTTTCTATTAAATGCTGAAGAAAAGAGATAAAAATGCTTTGCTTTTTCTTTGCAAGAGATAGAATTAAATCACATGCATTCTGGAAAACCCATAATAAATTAGTTGGGTTAAAAAAGACCAGAGGGTCTTCCAAAGTTACATCTGGAAGCTCACACAACTTCAACTTGCCTCTTGAGTCTGGGTCACCACTGAGGATGAAAAAATATAAGCATAGCACTCAGGCTTTTTTTTCTCTACCATTTGGAACAGTCACTCAGAACAAGTGGTTTTCTCCTGTGGGTGATATTCTTTTTTTTTTTTTTTTTTTTTGAGACAGAGTCTTACTCTGTCACCCAGGCTGGAATGCAGTGGCGCAATCTCGGCCCACTGCAACCTCCACCTCCTGGTTCAAGTGATTCTCCTGCCTCAGCCACCTGAGTAGCTGGGAATATAGGCACGCACCACCATGCATGGCTAATTTTTGTATATTTTTTAGTAGAGATGGGGTTTCACCATATTGGCCAGGCTGGTGTCAAACTCCTGACCTTGTGATCCACCTGTCTCAGCCTCCCAAAGTGCTGAGATTACAGGCATGAGCCACCATGACCGGCCCTGTGGGTGCTATTCTAAGTCACTAAGCTCTGGAGTTGCCACCCTCATCTTTTTCCTGTTATCATCCAATACCATCTGAGAATGTAATTAACCCAGAATCAAGGTGCTGCACCTTTCCTGTTCCTGCTCCATATTTTTCTTTTGTGTTCTGTTCACACACTTCTATTGTTTCCATAGCAATGGAATTTGGTTGTGTTGATCATGTGATAGTATGAATTATAGGTTTCCATCTAGATTCAACCACTATTGCCTCCCCTTCCCCATAGATACAAAATATTCTACTAAAGTAGCTTCTTCGTGTGGCAGAAAAATTCCAAGAACAATGCCTCAGAGCAGGAGGTTTGGAAAAGACCCTGAATGTTCTCTAGGAAAAAAGTCAAGTTTTTTTTTTTTTTTTTTTTTGTTGTTGTTGTTGTTGTTGTTGTTGAGATGGAGTCTCGCTCTGTCGCCCAGGCTGGAGTGCTGTGGCTGGATCTCAGCTCACTGCAAGCTCCGCCTCCCGGGTTCTCCTGCCTCAGCCTCCCGAGCAGCTGGGACTACAGGCGCCCGCCACCTCGCCCGGCTAGTTTTTTGTATTTTTTTAGTAGAGACAGGGTTTCACTGTATTCGCCAGGATGGTCTCGATCTCCTGACCTCGTGATCTGCCCGTCTCGGCCTCCCAAAGTGCTGGGATTACAGGCTTGAGCCACCGCGCCCGGCCAAAAGGTCAAGTTTTTAAATATAGGTATGTTTAAGTTCTGTCCATGTTTTAGGCTCCAAGCTCATGGAGCCAGATTATGCTGAGTTGGGGGTAAAGGAAATCCACTTAATTTAACCAACACCACCACCACCACCCAGCAAGGCAAATAGTACTATTAACTCGAGCTGGTTTAAAAATCACTGGATCTATAGTGTGAAAAGGCAAGATGACAAATAATGTTATCTCTAGGGGAAAGGAGATATCATGAGTGAAAAGCAAGAGGTGCTTACAGAAAAGGGTGAAGCTTCCTAACTGCTGCATACCACCGTTTCTACTCACTAAATGAAGAACTGAGGTGAGGTGTTTGGCATGGTGAATTTGATATGCTACAAAAAGCTTTCAAAATAGTTGGAGAGCTACCAACTAGATAAAATAAGGGGCTAGGACTCATTAGATGTACTTGGTATACATGGACAGGGCAAAGTCAATGGATAAGTCTTTAAGAGACAAAATAGTATCTGTGCCAGAGGACAAAACCACTCAGCATATTTATGACTAATATCCCAAGTTGGGAACATTGCAAATCCAAGAAAGCTGAAGGTCCAATTACAAGTCGCTTTCAAGAGGCAGGTTACATTGTATTTTATGTCTTCAAATGGATTTCATTAGAAATGAGGATGAAGTGATAGACAGCTATAATGAATGAGAAGCAAGATTGATCAAGGTAAAGGGAGGAAATTAACAAGAAACTTGGCCTTTTCCTGAGGAATACAGACAGAATGGGCAGAAAACAGGTGGTGTCTGGGAAATCTTTTGGCAGAGGGATCTGTGCCCTCTGTGTGAAAGAAAGGAAGAAGTCGCCAGCCAGGTTTTGGTTTAGCAAAGGGTCTTACACTAGCATAACCAAAGCATATCAAGAGCATCCAAAATCAATGAATACACTGAGACGTATTCAGGGCAAGCCCTGAGTGAGGCTCATCTGTGGTATGGGATAAACATCAGGGCTAAGAATCATTCTTATAGTGCATCGGGCTTTGAGGAAGGTGGGCATGGTTAAATTCATTGCTAATTGGTAAGATTTTTAAGCGTTAGCTGACTCCCAGGTGTGGTGTCCTGAGAAAGAAGTGAGCCCCATTACCATGTCCTGGAGACCATTTCTTGGTGAGCTGGAACCAACAGCCTCCGATGTGCTGGGAGGGCCAAGGAGAGGGCTGGGGTAGAAGAGAGTTCTTTTATTACCCAATGAGAGTTCCTCCTGCTCACAAAAAAGGAATCAGTCAGGGCACGTTTAATCTCCGTCTGGAATGAAACAGCAGCCTCTCTACTGTGCTCCTTGCCTCCTGTCTTTCCCCACAGTGATCTAACATTCATGCCACTGGCCTGCCAGCATTATCTCACCAAGAAAAGAGCCGAACTTGTCTCTCTCCTGTTTCTAAACCCTTGAGGACATTTAGCCTGACCCTCAGAGATGGCCAGCGTTTCCCTCCACCTGTCTTCTCAACTGTGTCTCTTTCTGATGCCCTCTGCCCCAGTTCCCTTTGCTCTAATCATTTCAGTCTACTTGAAGACATGCCTTGATTTCTCCTTCTCTTTGGCTTTTGCTGTAAGCATGGAACAACCTAGAAAACATGTCAAAAAAGATACCTAGGGGCCAAAGTTCCATCTATAAAAGTCTGCCCTGAGAAAGGACTTGGGAACATTAGCAGAGGCCCTTTTGAAATAAATTTAAAATGTAAAACTACTAAGCATGTACATGAAAGATACGTTATATTAAAAATGCAAGATACATGAAAAACATTTTTATAGAACCTGCCCTAGACTTAATCATTCAAAAGGGAGCTTGTCATGCACCTTGAATAACAATGATGGAAAATACTATGTTCTAGCTACTACTTAAAAATGCCAGAGTTAACTTTTCCTCCCTCTACCACAATAATAAAAGTCTGAAGTGTCTGTATTTTAGCTCTCTCACAAAACACAGAAGAATTTTTTTCTATTGTTAATCATAAAAAGTAATAAGGATGTACATTTTCTCACTTATTTATTCCTTGTATTAATGCCAGTTGCTAAGGAGGCAAAGGAAAGCTACCATTGTTTTCTATTGAAAGAGGGTTGTATTCAGGTGCCCTGTTATTTTGTTAGTGATATGGAGTCACCTCTGTGTTCTGATGTGTTGCTTTTATATCCTGGAGAAATGATGACATGAAGGAGACCCAGTCTTTAATCTTCTCCCTGTTGATAGGAATAAACTTTCAGCTGGCATGTGGCAACAATAGTGCTTGTACTTCTTTTGAACCAGAGGATTCTTTTATGAAGGTTAGAACGGCAGTGAGAGCAGGTACCAGCGAAGTAAGAATTTTTCCTAAGTAGTTTAAATGCCCTCGCCACCTCCACATTTGCACACTAGAATTAATGCTCAGCCACCTCTGCAAAGAAAGCTCAGAGAAAGGGGAGAAAAGTAGAAAATAATAGTAGTAATCACAGGGTTTGGGGCTTTCAGCTTTGACACTGATTTCCTTTATGTTCTCAAGCCAGCCCCCTAACCTGTCAGTGCCATTTTTGTGTAACTATGCAGGTGGGCCTTCCCTTAGAAAGTGCACATGTTGATGAAGAATGTGCTTGAATGAATTTGTATAATCACATCTTTTCTATGGACTCACAGGACAACTTAGAAGAAAGCTTTGGTCAATCTGAAACAGATCAGGGTTTTTCATATGTTGGCTTTGGCACTGTCCACCTCCTCTGCACAGTCTCCCCCACACCAGCTTTGCCTCTCCCTCAGGCAGATAATCATCCATGAAGAGTCCACTAGGCACCTTAGCTAGGAGCAGAAGCCCCTCTTAAAAACTTCAGACTCCTTTGGGGGCAAGCCTAGTTCCTCCCTAATATATGTAGCTTGGTAGATGTTTTTGTATTGGGTTCTTTTACATGGAATGCTTCTGGGGTGATGGTGACTGTTATTGGTTGAAATGCATGCTCCCCACCCAATTTGTGTGTTTCAGTTCCATATCCCAATACCTCAGAATGTGGCCTTATTTGGAAAGAGGGTCGTTGCAGATGTAATTGGTCAAGATGAGGTCATACTGGAATAGAGTGGGTTCCTAATCCAACATTACTGATGTTCTTATAAAAAGGGGAAATTTGGACACAGAGCTATGCACACAGGGAGAACACCATGTGAAGACTGGAGTTATGTTGCCACAAGCCAAGGGAACTACCAAGAGTTAGGAGAGGCCCCTGGAATAGATCCTTCCCTGGAGTCGTCAGAGAGAGCATGGCTCTACCAATACCTTGATTTCAGACTCCTAGCCCCTGGAACAGCGAGACAATACATTTCTGTTGTTCAAAGTTACCCAGGATGAGGTACTTTGTTACAGCAGCCCTAGGAAACTAGCTCAGTAACTTTTCAAGATATTTTAACAAATAGCAAAGATTGCCAAGATGGCATCTGAGGTTGTAGCATGGGTTCAGAATCTGTTTATTGGTATAAAACGTTTTGTTTTTCGGTTTGTTTTTGTTTTGCATGCAGTAGACATTATGCGTTATCTTACTTCTCTCACCTGTCATGGCCGATGAGGAAGTATTCCCTGTTAGTGGTTCTGATGGACATGACCTCATCAGGATGGCATTTAAACATCTTCTGCACAGATTGCATCTTTTCCTGGTTACTTATGCCAACTTCTACACTGGAATTTCTGTTAGATATTGACACAAAGTATTAAACCAAGGTAAATACAGAAATAGAAAACTGACTAATATTTTATATTGGGAATCAAATGGAATAAAACTTTAGATGTGCTGGATCCATGTTTTGAAGATTGTCCAATAATTTTAGAAGATAAGTTTGGATTTTTGATCTGGTTAATTAATAATTGAAATTATTTTGTTTAGCCTAAGATTCAAAAATTTCTATTTTAATTGGATTCTTGATTCCACAAATTATCTTTTTCAATTTTGGGGTGCACAATTTATTATAGAGAAGACCAAAAAAAGCTGATCTAAATATTTTTTAAAACTCTATCTTAACTTTATAAAATGAAAATTTCATCCGCTCCCTCTCATCCACAAATTACGTGAATCAAACTCCCTAACTGAATACCTGTTAATTAAAGACTTATCAAGTATGACATAAAATATGAAACAAATATTCAACTATCTTTTACTTAAAGTGCTCACTATTTTAGCTCCTATTCAGTCACAAATATTATAATAAGCTTGAAGCCTTTGGTTCCTTTGGTCAATTATGTAAATTTCAATTTGCTTGCAACTTGTTACTGTTTGACTTTATAGTATTTGTTGTTATAAAAGTTTTCTTGCTTGGATACACACTGATCAATTTCAATGGAACCTCGGTGATGAAGGTCTTTATAATAAGAAAGACTAAAGCTCTTTTCCCCAGTCCTTGACAGGATGAAAAACCGCTTTTTCCAAGAGGTCTGAAAAATAAAAAGATTTTATGTCTTAGTTAAATCTCAGCAGAAAAGAAAGGATTTTTAAAAATGTTCATGAGGCTGGTGGGAGGCTTGTTAAATCATAGCAAATACTTACCACAGAGAAGAACAGCTGAGAAGGTGGTGATTTAATAAAGTAATCTTGTTTGCAGACTTCATTTTCATAAGAAAATGTAAATTGTTTGCCTAATGAAAGTGAACAGAACTCAGTTTGTTCCTCATACATTTCTGAAAAGAACTGCCTCAATTGGAAAACACTATTTATCTCTGGAAAGACCTTCAGATTATTCAGTAGTTATGGAAAAGAACACTATAAAAACCCAAGAAAACAAAGGACCAAATGTGTGATTCTTATTCCTCCACAGCCGAGACCTTCATTCAAACAACATTTGAAAGCATGTTAATTCAGCTCACACCTGTCTGGCTTTCTGCTTCTAGAGTACATTGTTGGCTCTCTACGTGTGAGCGAAGATTTGGCTCTTAGTTCCATTGGAGGAGCATGATAATTTTGCATTGCCCTTTGGCTTAGCAAACAAAATCAAAAGCACCTGCTATTAAAAATGATGTGGCAAAAACTATTTGGGGAAGGGGGACAGGTAGAGCTCTGCAGAAGTTGGGAAAGGAGGGAAGGTAAACACAGCCACCTCCCCAGAATTACTGGATGCTATCCTCATAGCCCCAGCAGCTGTATTACCAAATCTTGAGTCTGTTTTCACTTAATAAAGAAGCTCTAATTTTTTAGTAAAGACTGCCCTTTCCAAAACTGAGGACGAACAAAACCTATAGCCCAGATGTGAAAGCAAATCCAAGCTAAAACAAAAACAAACCCAAAACGAAAAAAACCCAAAAATAACAACATTGTGTTTAACAACATTAATTGTGTTTTTCTAAATAGTGAATGTAATACGTATTTATTGTAGACATTTTAGAAAATACAGAAAATATTAAAACTGCATATAATTTCATCACTCACAGAGAAGCAGTGAACATTGTAGAAACTTCTTTATTTAATCACTTCTGGCACCCCATTTTCAATAGTGAGTTGTTTTGCTTTTGTCTGCTAAGCCAAAGGGCAATATATACTGTCTCCCTAAGTATTCAAGAGTGTTGATTAACACATGTGTGTGCTGAAACTACCTGAGGCCAGAGAAACAACCATTAAAAAAATCAGAGGCTCAGAAAAAGTGCCTGTTACCTCCAGCCAGACTGGAAAAACTTATAATTTACAGGGTATTGGATAGAGTACTCAGGAATGTCTTGCCTCAGTGTGAGGAATAATTAGCTGTATACTAATTACTAGCTCTACACTGAGCACTGCTCCAAACCCACCTAACAAATCATAAAAGACTTAGAAGAAAGTTGTTTCCAAAAAATTTAACTGCATCCCAGGACAAAGCTCAAGATTCATAGGAATGCAAAGATATTCAGGACCCAACAAGGTAAAATTTGCCATGTTTGGCAGTCAATCAAAATTTACCAGGCATACAAAGAGGAAGGAAAACATGATCAATAATGAGGAGACAAGTCAATCAATAAAAACAGGCCTAAAACTGACACAGATGTTAGAATTGGCAGAGAAAATAATTAAAGCAGTTATTATCAGTGTTTTCAAGAAGTTAGGGAGAGATATAAAAGATATAAAGAAGACCCAAAGTGAAATTTTAAAGATGAAAGCTACAATGTCTCAAAAAAACAGCAACAACACTGGATGGGAGTAAGAGCAGATTAAGTATTGTACAAGAAAAGATTAGTGCACTTAAAGGCATGGCAATTGTAACTAACAACATAAGCAAAGAGTTAGAACATAATGTAAAAACTCGAAAAGAGCACCAGTACACTGTGGACAATTTCAAGTAGCCTAGTATACAAGTAATAGGCGTCCCTGAAGTGACAGAGGAAGAAATAAAAAATATCTGAAGCAATAATGCTAACAATTTTATAAACCTAAAACTATAATCCCAGAGATCCAAGCAGTTCAATGAAGCTCAGCACAAGATACACAAAGAAAAGTACATCAAGGCATGTTATAACTGAATTGTTCAAAACCAGCAATAAAGAAAAAAAATCTTAAGAGCAGCCAGAGGAAGAAAAGACCTATTATATACAGAACAAAGACAAGAAATAGAGATACTGATTTCTCATCCAAAAAAAAAAATGCAAACAAGAAGAAGTAAAACACTATATTTAAGGGTTGTGTGTGGCAGCTCACGACTGTAATCCCAGTACTTAGGGAGGCTGAGGCAGTCATTTCCTGAGATCAGGAGTTTGAGACCAGCCTGGCCAACATGGCAAAACCGTGTCTCTACAAAAATACAAAAATTAGCCGGGCGTAGTGGTGCAAGCCTGTAGTCCCAGCTACCTGGGAGGCTGAGGCAGGAGAATGGCTTGAACCTGGGAAGCAGAGGTTGCAGTGAGCTGAGATAGCGCCACTGTGCTCCAGCCTGGGTGATAGAGTGAGACTCCATCTCAAAACAAACAAACAAACAAACAAACAAACAAACAAACTATATTTAAAGTACTGAAAAAATACTCTCTTTCAAAATTCCATATTCAGCAAAACTATCTTTTAAAAATGAAGGCAATTTAAAGACTTTTTAGATATATAAAAGCTGAAATAATTCATCATTAGGAGGCTTGCAGTAAAAAAATATCAAGGGAAGTCCTTCAGGAAGAAGGGAAATGATAACATAAAAATCTGAATTTAAACAAAGCAATAAAGAGCACTGAAATGGTAACTACTGAGGTAAATGTATGAAATTATTTTCTTGTTATTGAAAACACTGAAACATCAACTGACTGTTTAAACAAAAATAATGACAATATATTGTGCAGATTATAGCATATGTACAAGTAAAATGCATTCCAACAGTAGCATAAAGGCCAATAGGGAAAAATGGAAATACATTTTTGTAAAGTTCTTTTATTATATGTGAATTGGTATACTATCACTTGAAGTTAGACTGTGATGTGTGTAAACCCTCAAGCAATCAGTAAAATAACAAAACAGAAAGTAATGACTAATAAGCCAACAAAGGAGATAAAATGGATTCATAAAAAATTTGATTATTCCAAAAGAAGGCAGAAAAATGGAAATGGAGAATAAATAACCAATAGGACAAATAGAAAATAAATAATAATATGATACACTTACACTGGACTATATCAATAATCATGTTAAATGTAAATGGTCTAAACACCTCAATTAAAAAACAGAGATGACCAGATTGGATAAAAAAGCAAGACTCAACTCTATGGTGCCTGTAAGAAACACACTTTAAAGATGAAAATGCAAGTAGGTTACAAGGAAATAACTGGAAAAAAAAGATATGCTATGCCAACGCTAGTCAAAGAAAGCTGGAGTGCCTGTATTAACATCAACGTAGATTTTAAAGAAAATAATATTACCAAGGACAAAGAATATCATTTCATAATAATAAAGGGATGAATTAATCCTAAGAGGACATAAAAATTTAGACATATATGCCCCTATAACAGAGCTTTAAAATACATGAAGCAAAAACTGATAGAACTGCATAAACAAATGGACACATCCACAATTATAGTCAGAAATTTCAATATCCCTCTCTCAAGAATTGATAGAACAAATAGTTCTAAAATAGATATTTTAAACTTCGGATACATTTTTAATGTTTTAAATAATAAGTTTACTAAGAGATTTCAATCAAGAAGAGTGATGCTGGCCTCATAGAATGAGTTGAGAAATATTCCCTTCTCTTCTATTTTGTAGAAAATCAGCAAGAATACAGTAGGCTTGAACAACACTACCAACCAACTTTACCTGACTGATATTTATAGAACACTCCACTCAATGACAACAGATTATACATTCTTCTCAAGGGCACATGCAACATTTATTAATATAAATTATATTCTGGACCATAAAACAAGTCTCAATAAATTAAAAAGCACTCAAATCATATAAATCATGTCTTCAGAGCACCAGGAAATCAAATTATAAATCAATAACAGAAAGACCTCTTAAAAGATCCTGAAATAAATAATCTCTAGATTTAAAAAATCCCAAAAATAAATTTGCGAGTTTTTTATACTGGATGACAATTAAAACACAAGATATCAGAATTTGTGGATGCCACTAAAGCAGTACTTAGGGAAAAATTTTTTTAATGCCTACGTTAGAAATGGCCATGTTTGAAAAGAACAAAAGTCTCAAATTAATTACTTCAGCTTCCACCTGAAACTGAACATGAAACTGGAAAAAAAAAAAAAAAAAAAGAAACCTAAAGTAAATAGAGGAAGTGAGATAATAAAGATAAAAGTGGAATTCAAGGAAAGAGAACATAGAAAAACAACAGAGACAACCAATGAAACCAAAGTTAATCCATTAAAAGGATTAACTTAACAAACCTCTACCTAGGCAGATAGACCAGAAAAACTGGAGAGAAAACACAATTTACCAACATTAGGAGGAGAGAGGGGACATAGCTACAGAGTCTACTGATATTAAAAGGATAATAAAGAAATGTTATGGACAACTTTATTCCAATAAATTTGGCAACTTAGATAAACTGAAAAATTCCTTGAAATACACCAACAAAGGTCACTGAAGAAGAAATAGATGACCTGAATAGCCTCCTATAGCTATTAAAGAAATTGGAATTGTAGTTAAAAATCCTTCACATAAGGAAAACTTTAGGCCCAAGTGGCTGTACTGTTCACTTTGATTAAACATGTAAGCAAGAAATAATCAACTCTATACAAAGGCTCCCAAAAAAATTGAAGAGAAGGGAATATTTCTCAACTCATTCTATGAGGCTAGCATTACTCTTCTTGATTGAAAACTCTTAGCAAACTTGTTGTTTAAAACATTAAAAAATGCATCCAAAATAAGTAAAAATAAATAAAACATCCAAATTGAAAAGAATGAAGTAAAATAATTTCTATCTACAAGTGACATAATCTCATATGTTAAAAATCCCAAAGAATCCATGCAAACTACTAGAGCTAATAAACAAATTCAGCAGTATTGAAGAACAACAGACAAAAGTTAGCTATATTTCTATGAACCAGCAATAAAGAATCCAAAAATAAAATTATGAAAACAGTTCCATTTACAATAGCATCCAAAAGAATAAAGTACCTAGGGATAAATTTAGGCAGATAAAAACACTGGTACATTGCAAACTAGAAAAATTGCTGAAATAAAT